CTCTTCCAATAAATGTCTCTCTGTGAGAGTGCTGTTGGCCTGTGAACGCTGAAGAGCTTTCTCCAGGGCGGTCAGCTGCTGTTGTGAGCTAGCTTCCCTGTTGAGGTTAAGATTTCGCAGAGCATCGTCTAGCTGCTCCTTGAGGGCCTTGTTCTCTTCCAATAAATGTCTCTCTGTGAGAGTGCTGTTGGCCTGTGAACGCTGAAGAGCTTTCTCCAGGGCGGTCAGCTGCTGTTGTGAGCTAGCTTCCCTGTTGAGGTTAAGATTTCGCAGAGCATCGTCTAGCTGCTCCTGTGTGTTCTAATACAGCAGTTTCATGCCTTCATGTACATTCTGCTAAATTCTAATTTTTATGGATCCAGGGAACTTGTCATTGATATTCAGTTCCATAACCCCTAAGTTACCTTAAACCAAGTCATCTCTCTAAAATGTAACAATTAGCATTTTTGGACTTGAAAATAAACTGCCTCAATAAGCTGATTAGTCTATCTTGAGACTACATACAGTAGTATGTGGTATGTAGACTACATACAGTAAATGATTTAGAAAAGCATAGTTTTATAAATATAGGAAGCCTTCATCACCCATGCAACAGGGATAAGATGGAAACAAAATTTTCCATTACACTCTCCATATCTATGTGTTGATGTGCATGTTTTCCATGTCTTTGCATGCTAGTGTTTGTTTTGAATGTGTGTATATGAGAGAGAGTGTGTGTGTGTTTAGCATATTATTGAAAAGAATTATGGGTTGTCATATGCATTATGCACTAGTATTTAAAATAAGGTGCCTTCCATATGGCCCCAGCGTAGTGGCAGAAGAGCCAAGTTTATTTTATACCATCAGCAAATTTTGTTAACAAGGGTAACTTAACAAAGGAGAAAGAGAGAGGGAGGGAAACAGAAGAGAGAGTGGCTCCAGGGAGGTTTGCTTGCCTGTAGTACACTGACACTGCTTTACCAAACAGGCTTCAGCTGTTTAATTTCTCATTGTGTTTTGCATTTTGCTGCATCATGGCTTATTGTTTCTGCACAAGACAGTAAAACCTCAAACCAGACAAATTTTGTGACTTTGATTTGTTTGATTGTAAGATTTGAGTCTTATAGACTCTAGTTACTTTATCAGCTTTAGTTACTTCTGTTAGATTCTAACCTCTTTGTCAGAAATCAACCCAATTCTTTAGTTGGAGCACGAGAAGTGACGACAGGAGAGGACTGTTTAAAATCAACAGAAAGTTTACTGAAAGTCTGGTTACAAGAAAGTCTCACAGCGCTGGATTCAGAGAGATAGAGCTCCCGCAGGAATTCCAACTTCTGAACCTCGAGTCATGATTTCACAATACATTTATGCATTTTGGGCTGCTCCGCCCTGGACAGAAGTACCACGAAACCAGGTGTGTTGTCATGTGATTTTCCAGGCGGCAGCAGAACAATGGGTCCTCTGCGCTGCAGACCCCC